TTGGATCTAAACATTTTTCAACATTAGTAATTTCTGTATCTGAGGTGAAACATAAATCAAGAGTTTCGTGGTAATCATTATTCACATAATTAATTTGAGACAAATTATTGTAGCTACAGGAGTTTGATAAAATTTGAGCATTGTATTCAATTAAGTGTAAACAGTTTTTGGCAGATTATAATCACCGACAATTAAGGTTAAATCGTTATGAATATCTAAATTATCGACAGTACTGCAGTATTCCTCATAGTTCTCGGACGGAGATCCAGGGGGAAAATATGCAGTGCCGATATTTATTTTTTTCCCGTCGGCGATTACTCGAACAAACAGATATTTATAGGTACTGGCATGTTTACACAAAAGGATACATTGGTTTTTATTATGCGTTGCTATCAGAGCTCCGCCTGTAGATGTTGTAGTTATGAAGATTGAGTTCCTGGTCGTGAATACCAGAATGCAACCATGTTTCAGTGAAGACAATCAAGTCGGGTGGAGTTAAATGGAGTTTGGCATCGAGGAGTGTGTCAAGTTTCGTCCGGAGCCCCCGCACATTTTGATAGTATATGAGGAAGTCGCTCAGTTTTTTGGTTGTCCGGATTGATCTCTGGTTGATTGGGAGACATTGCCCACGGATTGAGCCTCAGTTGAATGGGAGGCAGTGTCCACGGGAGGTTTTTTGGGAATATCCATCAAACTCGGCACGCCATGTACAAATCTAATACACTTTTTTCCACTGTTCTCAGGTTTAAGGAGGTCGTTCTGTAGGCCTTTAAAGTAGTCGATTTGAACTTTTGTAAAATCCGCCTGGAATTTAACCGTGTCTTTAAACGCCCCACGTTTTTTCAAAAGTGACAGGGCCGAGGCTCGATCCGAAAAAATCACCTTGGGTGGACGTGGGCGACGTTTATCAGTGGACCGGAGACGGATGACCTTGGAGAAAACTACATTCGGTTCTTGCAGAGTAACGAGACGAGAGAGTAAAGCGCTCTTATCATGTTCAATGCGTATATTGATGTCTTGGCTCGTGGACTCCTCGATGTCATAGAAAATAAGGTTTTTTTCTCTAAATTGCCTCTCTGATATTTCTTCAATTATACTCGGAATAGTTTGGGATGAGATGTCGATATTGGCGTAATTTTTTTCCAGACGCGTTATCCTGGCATCAAAATTGCTCATATTCTCATTCACGGATGTGCGAAAATCAACCATCGTTTTAGTGAAGCGGTCAAAGTTATCCATTTTTGTTTCAATGGACTCAGTTTTTTTCAAAACTTTCGGTACTTGACGGAAGCCCTTGGAACAATCGCGGCAAAAATATCGCAGTTTTCGGTTTGACTTGAGAGCGAGACTCCTCTGATCCGTAGGGGAGATGTCATAGCACTCATAATGAATGTAACATTCGCAACTGTCACATACTGCATGTTTGGCTGGTTTGAGCTTTAAGTTCACTTCCTTTTTGCAAATGTCGCACGTATGTGGAGAGTCATCTTGTTGTTCGATATCCTCATCCGAGGTAACGGGTGACGAAGACATTTTGCTCAAAACTACTACTCGTTATCCGGAGAGTGAGGTAAGCACAGCTACTCAGTCCGCCGAGTTACCTCACCAGGACTATGTGCAAATAGAAAGAGCGAAATATATACCGAAAATGAAGTAGAGACAGGTGTTGAATTCACCTAAGCCGTGTGTTTTTGAAGATGATAATGAAGATTTTATGTTTATAAACAAACTATTATCTTTAAATTAGTAATAGTTTTGCAAACGCACACAGAGACGAACACTCACAACGGTTAACGATCAAAACAGAATTTAAAAAAAATATAGTTTCAATTTATTATAAAAAAATAGTAGCAAACGTTAAAACGTCAAGAATCTGTTATAAAAATAACAAAGTTCTGTACAATTTAAGTGTTGCGCCAAACAATAAATTGAGCAACATGCGAAATAACTAAATAAATAAATAATTAACTAAATAATAAATAAATTTACATATTGCTAATCACATACAGTGATGCACTTTTGCATTTTAATGTGTATAAATAAATTAAATAAAGACAGGTATATTTATGTGAACAAAGAAATTGTTCTTTATCTAATTTAGTACTGCTTCTGGCTTCTAGAGGGGGTGCTAACGTTTCAGAAACTGCAGAAGTATTAGCTTCTGCTTCTTAGTTTGCCATTTGCCCTTTTGCATATGGTGTAGATTGTACGTCACGGTTTTTCTGTGTTGGACAGAAAACACCCTTTTCACTCATACGCGTTGCAAATGGGGTCGTTTGGAAAAATTGCACCTGCAAGAATTACAACAAATAAATGTACTCTCTTGTATACTGAACATCATTGCATTATTATCTTGGGGTAATTTCCTCACATCCTTCGACGCATCATACCCTTCTTTGTATTTCCATCTTTTATTAGCTACAATAATATCAACAGCAGATTAATTAAACCTATTACGGGTTCTTAACAAGTTTTGATTCGAATAGCAAAGTTTCTAACCAGCACTATTTCAGAAAATAATTACTTATTGTAAAACATGATTGAAGAACTTATTATATTAGGTACTTACTTTCAGAATAGGTAAAAGTACTTCTCACAAAAATTCTAAAATATTACAAGTTGCGAAACTACACTCACTATTGCTCAGTATACGCTATAACTAGTGGGGAATTCCGCCGATAATCGCAGCCTAAAACGTGGCGCGTAAAAATCGATATAGTCTACTACTACCACATAATTCAGATAATATGGGCCGAAGCTAAAAATTTTAAAGCTCAACACGCAATACAACTTTTAAACTTAAATATTAAAGAACATTTTGATGAACCCTTACGAGAAATTACAACAGAAAAATGGAAAAAGTGTGTTGATAAGGGACAAGGTTGAAGTTATTAACAAATGCAATTGTTTTGTTATTGAATAAGTTTTTTATTTAAAAACTAACATCAACTAGTTGTACTGAGTACCACATGAAATAAACCAACTGACTCCTAGTGTTAAATATTCACAGGCAGATATTCTAGAACTTACTATTGCAAGGGGAATATCTGGACACGGGTTAAATTGATAAGACGTGTTGCTTAATTTTGGAGTGGAAGATAGAATAACAGAAGTCTTGCAACGAAGTGGACTTATTAGATATATATTTACAAATGTTTACAAACAGTTTCTCCAAACGAATGATTAAGAATAACTGTACATGTGTTTTATTAGTGTTATCAGTAATAAAAACAATCGGCTTCCATAAAAATCCCAGGGTGTGGCGAATGTCACCATTGGTGATTAATCCTTTAAAACATTTCCGTGGATAGTTACAAGCCGGGCTTTCAAACTCAAAAATTTTGAAGAAAGGGATGTTTTTAACCTGTGAAAAATCGGCTACATCAGAAATTAACAAACGGGACTTTCTAAACGTTAAACCCATAAAATAAATACCCCATAATAAAAATGAAACTGTATTGGGAATCGTAAAGGATCATTCCTGGACCGTTACCTTTATAAACTAATTTAACTATTTAGCTGATACATCTAGCCATCCTCCAAGGATCTACTATCATATAAACACAACGCCGCTTTGTAAGTTTGCAAAGTATTCTAATAACTGGCGGCATGGATCTTAAATAAAGTAAGAATCTTAAAGAATTTTAATCCTCTTAAATGTAGAGTTTGCAGAAATCTGTGAACTTGAATGATTCAGAAATTACAGATCCTCTTTAATGTTCAATTTACAGGAATCTCTGATCTTTTATGATTCAGAAATTACAGATCCTCTTAATTGTTATACTTACAAGAATTTGCGACCTTGAGTGTTACATTCAGAAATTACAGATTTTCTTAATGTGAAAGATTTAGCTACCAACCGCTAGAGGTTACATATGTTCAAAACTATATAGTGTTAAAACTCACGTAATGACTAAATGTGTCAATTAGTATGTTTATAATACATTTATTAAATAACATATAATACAGTAATGGTTAGAAACTATCGTGTGTTGATAATAATAATCGTAGATATCACACAGTATGGTAATTAATCAGGTGTATTTCAACAAGATAGTACAATACAATGACAGTTTTTATAGCAAAATACAAAATCCATGTAAGAGAAATACAAGAAAACATCCTATTGTTTACAAACTGTCATATCACTATTTAAATTTTATATCTGAGGGAAAAGCCCCCTTAAACCTCTGTAGCCTCCACATCTCCCCTTATAGCTACCCTATCCTCCCAAATGAATATTAATTTTGAAAGCGTTAACACACAATTGATTAAATTTTAGCAATTATGTCAAAAAGTTAATTTTGAGACATTTTAACTATCAATCTACGTTATTTAATATAATTATTTATATAATATGACAGTTTATAACGGAAAAAACCAAATACATGTAAAAGAATGACAAGAAAACAAATTAAAAATAAAATACAATAAAAATAAAAAATTTTATTCTTGAGTCTCCTTAATTATCTGAAAGTTAATAAAGCAATTAACAGGACTAACGACAAAGACTAATAAATTTGGTAGAGAAGATCGGACAGATTTCGCCAAGGTAAGCCGGGTAGTCGCCTATTGCTTCTATTCCAGATAACCCGCTGTACCCGTCTGAAAAGAAGTGACGCTAGATTAGATTCGCGAAAAGTGTATAAAACACTTTTAAAGAACAACTAAAAAGCTAAGGCCAAGAGGACTTGTCTGGGGCGGACCTCTCTCCTCCCACAACGCTGAGAAGAGAATAGAACACGATAACGAAACACTGAATCATGTAGAAGACGTAGGATAAATGCGAAGCAAAATAGTAAGAATATGCAGTAAACTAAGCGAAGAGGCAAGCAAGTAACATGTTAGATTACTACTATTAAAAAAAATAAAAGATAAAAAATGAATTTACATAAAATAAATTATAATAAGGATGCAAAAAAAACATGTATTTAAATAAAATAAACTTAAATAAGCACGCAAGATAAATAATTAAATCAATAAAAATAATAAAGAAGTATAGAACTACGTGGGCTTCTTTGTCTTCTCCATTCTAGATCTGAAACAGATATGTTGGTAACAGATTAGTAATGAGCAATTAACATTAATTGTTATATATTCTTACCTTAATTAAATGCAGAATATGACATTCTAAAGTTTACACCACAGCAGAAATTTGTTGTTTCAGTGGGGTCCAAATAAATTTCCAGTTGCTCATTCATCGGTTGAAAATTAAATGTACAATGGTGCAAAGTGAAGATCAGCCAATCGAGTCCAGGAAAAAAAGACACCTTTTATATAGATTTGTTATTTCACTAGCACCAAAGGTAACTTCAGTTCTTTCCCATTTGTTGGGAAAATATTTAATAAGAATATAATGCTGTAACTGCTTGTATTTCTTTTTTCTGGTTTTACTAAATAAATAAATTATTTCTGGTTACTTACCATTTCCTTGTCGTAAAATCTTTTAGCAACAGCAACACACTGCATCCAGTCAAAAAAAGATATTTAAATGCATCCTTCGGGTAGCGCTTCATCCTATCACCAAAAAGGATTATTTTAACACAGCATTAAAACGAAAAAGTATTTAGATATACTTACAACAATTTAATTATTACATAATGCACTTTAATGTTGAAATTTAACTCCTTTATTTCATTTAATTCTAAAATGAATTCAGTAAATTGAACGTAATCATAAAAGATACGAACAAAACTTCTTGTAATTACATACAGCAATAGCCTGCTAATGTACAGTGCCAGTAAAAGCTACTTCACGAAGCATCAATACATAAAAACGCATCATATTAGGTTTATGCAACGGTTCACGGCAAATATTTCGTAATTTAACCAATCGTTGTGCTAGGTTTCATAAACTTGAAATAAATATACCTGTGTTTTGCTTCATATAAGTGCTATCGCCTCGTCACAATTCCACAAACAATTGAATACAAGATTAGAAACGTGCACACCAGAACGTACGTTTGGCCAAACCGACATTCAGGTTTAGCATTAGTGTGTATTCACCGTGATATTATCGATGAAGTCCTTAATATTTTTCCGCAGAAAAAAGATACGACGAATAAACTTAATCCTTAGATCTCACTAATATTATTTTTTACAATAATTTGTAATAATTAGTATTAATCATTTATTATTCACTTTTTTGTTTTTATTAATGCAATTCCTGACAGCAAATTTCAATTTTATTATTCAAAAAAATTAACTTTAAACTTCATACTTTTGAACAAAACCCCTACCGAAAAATATTTCTAGCTACGGCCTTGCTACCAAACAACAATAACTTGTGTACTAGTACTAGATGCCTAACACGGTATAAATGAATTAATAAGATTTGCTCATTGTTGATAGTACGTAGCACTATTTAAATTAGACCTCTGCATATGAGTACACAAAACAAACAAAGTTTATTAAGTTTATTATAAATTCGAATTTCCACGCCATCCTTTTGAAGTAATACCAGGGCCGGCCCTAGTTATCTCGGCGCCACGGGCGAGCCGTGCCTTTGGCGTCCTTTTAGGTATACTTACTTCATTATATGAAGATTGGAAAAACTTTGGCGGTTGTTGTAGAACAAACAGAATAGCTCAAAACCCCAACGCCAAAACACGACACTGTAGTTGTCCGAAGCACTTTTCGGTAACAAAGTTACCTTCTTCAGGGACTGAAGTAAACTAAACCTAAATGAGAACTAATCCTAATTTATACTGATAGTTGTTAAGGTTCAGTGAACATGACCCGAAGCCAACAAGGTAGATGTTCAATGGACCTTAACATCATCATCATAAACGTAATTAAACTAAACTAAATAGCGGAGATCCAGGGATGGGACCGTTGTCATTGTTAAGAACAATTTGTTTATTTTTATAAATGTATAAACTTTCAAAACTGTTTAGTAAACGATTATTCCTAACTTCTTTAACTAACTTAAGGTTATTAATATTAATATTATGTCCATCAGTAAGAATATGTTGGGCAACACTAGATTTTTCTTCTCTACCAAACCTAGCATGAGCTAGATGTTCTTTAAATCTGGTTTTGATTGAACGTCTAGTTTGTCCAATATATTTTTTACTACAGTCATTACAACTAATTTCATATATCCCCGACTTTTCTAAGAATGGAATTTTATCCTTAGGGTTACCAAGGAGAGTTTGAATGGAGTTGCCATTTGAACTGTAAGCAATCCGTAAACCAAGTTTTCGAAAAATACCCTCGAGTCCGCGAGTAAATCTTGGCTCGTATGGCATAGTAATAAACTTGGTTTTATTAGCATCTGTTTGAAAAGTCGTAGATCTTGAAATAAAATTCCTAAATTTTATCTTATTAATTAATTTATCAATAATGTTACAATTGTAACCATTGTCTTTTGCAATTTTCTTAATTGTACAGAGTTCCTTATTATATCTATTTTTACTAAGAGGGAAGCTAAGTAATCTGTGTACAAGGAAGTTAAAACTAGCCATTTTATGTTGAACACAATGATTAGAGTCGTTGGGTATATATCTAGAGGTATTAGTGGGTTTTCTGTAGATGTCGAATTCTAAAGAATTCCCATTTCTTATAACCAACGTATCTAAAAATGGTAATTTGCCATCTTTTTCCATTTCTACAGTAAATTTAACCGAAGGGAAACGTGAATTTAAAACATCAAGAAAGTCTTGAAGACTTCTGGAACTTAAATCGAAGATAGCAAAAATGTCGTCCACGTATCTAAGCCATATTCGAGGAAAAAACTCAAGGTGGCTAAGGTCACTTTCAAAACGACTCATAAAAAGGTCGGCTATAAAGGGTGATAAAGAATTCCCCATAGCTGTTCCTTCTTTCTGTTCGTAGAAGCAACCATTTATCTGAAAATAATTTTGCCGCATGCACATTGAAGCCAGAGTTATGTACTCAGCTACAATGTCGGCGGAGAAACCATTTTCTTTAAGTAAATCCTCTAAATACGTCAAAGTAAGCGGAACAGGTACACTTGGAAAAAGGGAGCAAACATCAAATGAAACCATAACCTCACTGTCTTTTAGTTTTACGTCTTTGACTTTGTTTATGAATTCAATAGAATTTTTAACTGAAAAACTAGGTGGTTTAATAGGGAGGTTGTTGAATTCATTTGTCAACCACTTGGCTAATTTATAAGTTGGTGCACCAATTGCAGAGACAATTGGTCGCATCGACTTACCTGGTTTATGTATCTTGGGCAAACAGTACAAACGGGGAACTGTTGGACATGATACAAGTAAATTTCGTTTTAATGTAGGAGTAATAATGTTGTGACATTGTTTTACGGTTTTAGTAAACCCAGCAACCATACTAGGTAAAGGATTTTTATTTAATTTTGAATAAGGTCCGTTGTTAATAAGGTCATCAACCCGATCGTAATAGTCTTTTTTATCCAAAATCACAACTTTATTACCTTTGTCAGCTTTTACGTAAAAACAATCCTTATCTCTCAATTTTTTGATAACTTTCATATTAGCATTTTTAATATGGGAACTCTGAGATTTTAAGCTGGTTTTCAATTTTAGTTTGCAAGCCTCTCTGATATAGCCTTTGGAATTGTCATCAAGATGTTGAATTGAACTTTCAACATGTCCTATAACATTTTCTAAGGCTGTAGCAGGAGAAGGCAAGGCAAACTTTAATCCTTTATTGAGTAAACTAATTTCGGCATTATCAAAAACTTGAGATGACAGATTCTCTACAATGTGTTCGACCTTCTTAGGAAGTGGTTTGGAGAATATACCTAACTTACGTAACTTCTTTTTATGAATGTTCACCTTTTTATGAAATTTACAATCTATAGATAAAAACATCTTCCTTTGAAAATCGCTCCATTTTTTGAATTCTTTTTCACTTAAATTATAAGTTAAAGATTTAAATAAATTATACGCCTCTATTTCAAGTAGACTACGTTTTGAGTACAAGAAATCCAATTCTAAATCTAGCCACTTACGCTTAGCAAAAGTGGTTATTTTTTCAATAACTTTACAGTTCTTTGAAACTTTAATATTCATAAACTCTGGGAAAAGAGAGTTACGTTTACAGGTTTTTAAGAATTGGATATCTGCACCAATTAATCTAATCTTACAACTAAGTTTGTGATACCTGTTTAAATCCGATGACCGGGAAGCCATGACGAAATATGAAGATTGGAAAAACTTTGGCGGTTGTTGTAGAACAAACAGAATAGCTCAAAACCCCAACGCCAAAACTCGACACTGTAGTTGTCCGAAGCACTCTATTTACTTCAGTCCCTGAAGAAGGTAACTTTGTTACCGAAAAGTGCTTCGGACAACTACAGTGTCGTGTTTTGGCGTTGGGGTTTTGAGCTATTCTGCTTGTTTTACTTCATTATAATTAAAAAACTTATTTTGAATTTGTACCATACCTTTTACTATTAATAATAACATATTTTAACCATTAATTCTCTAAACAATGCATCTTACCTATCTAATATATAGTCTATCAGTCATGTTATTTAATTTGCTTCTGAACATGAGTATGTAAAAAGCAAAGAAAGAAAAGTATGTATAATGCAGGGAGCCCAATACGAGTTGCATTTTCTCGCCTGTTGCCTCTATTCCGCTACATTATTTAGTGAGATTTAGGGTTTCATCTTCTTAGCCGTGATATGGTTCAGGCGTTGACGCTCACGGTTCGCAAATGTAAGGTGTACCATGCGATTACTACACTTGATCATTACATTAACACTGGCCTACCATCAGCTAACTAAATACATCAAGATTATAAAATTAAAAGAACAAATAATTAATAACTGTAATTGGCAATAAATGAGCAAAAAATACGAAAGAAATAGAACACTGATCTTGCTAGTTATAAGTTGATTGAATATGACGCTGATGTGCCGGAATTAGAACTGACTACATTCAACTAGGTTTTTCTCGAAAACGGTGAACTTTGAGATCTATAATTTTAAAGTGCCGTATCATCTCTTACTGCTACTCATTCCTGAAACACCCTGTATGTCTAAGTTTTCAAATAGTGCATGATGTAAGAAGTTGTTGTAGTTTTTCAATTATCTCGCATATTTTGTGATTATTTCATTTTATTATGTCGGCACCGCTCTTTTGTTTTCACCATAGTGATAACTAAACAAATTGTTCCTTAAACAATTTACTCTACGGCGCGAGTACTACTGAATCCCCTTAGGATTCAGTAGTACTCGCGCCGTAGAGTAAATTGTTTAAGGAACAATTTGTTTAGTTATCACTATGGTGAAAACAAAAGAGCGGTGCCGACATAATAAAATGAAATAATCACAAAATATGCGAGATAATTGAAAAACTACAACAACTTCTTACATCATGCACTATTTGAAAACTTAGACATACAGGGTGTTTCAGGAATGAGTAGCAGTAAGAGATGATACGGCACTTTAAAATTATAGATCTCAAAGTTCACCGTTTTCGAGAAAAACCTAGTTGAATGTAGTCAGTTCTAATTCCGGCACATCAGCGTCATATTCAATCAACTTATAACTAGCAAGATCAGTGTTCTATTTCTTTCGTATTTTTTGCTCATTTATTGCCAATTACAGTTATTAATTATTTGTTCTTTTAATTTTATAATCTTGATGTATTTAGTTAGCTGATGGTAGGCCAGTGTTAATGTAATGATCAAGTGTAGTAATCGCATGGTACACCTTACATTTGCGAACCGTGAGCGTCAACGCCTGAACCATATCACGGCTAAGAAGATGAAACCCTAAATCTCACTAAATAATGTAGCGGAATAGAGGCAACAGGCGAGAAAATGCAACTCGTATTGGGCTCCCTGCATTATACATACTTTTCTTTCTTTGCTTTTTACATACTCATGTTCAGAAGCAAATTAAATAACATGACTGATAGACTATATATTAGATAGGTAAGATGCATTGTTTAGAGAATTAATGGTTAAAATATGTTATTATTAATAGTAAAAGGTATGGTACAAATTCAAAATAAGTTTTTTAATTATAATGAA